GGCGCCCCCACTGGCAGCCAGTACTCCTGCTCTTGCTCCCGCCGGCCTCCTGGTGTGGGGACGCTGCTAAGCTCAGCTTAAGGTAAGCAGACTCCAGATACGTATTTTAAGTAGCTGGAGTTGCATACCTTAAACCAAGCTGCTGGATCTAATGTAGACCTGGCCTAAAGCACATGAGTAGCAGCCAGGAGAATTAGGCTTTATCAATGCCTGTGTGATCTTGGCCAGCTGATTGGAGCTCATATTTTCTATTTTGGCCACTACTTTGAGATATCCCAGTCAGTGGGTGTCTAACTTGAGACACAATGAGACCACTTTTCAGAAGGGCTGAGACCCCACAACTTCATTTGAAGTAAGTGGGAGCTGCAGGCACCTAGTCCCTTTGAAAATCACATCCCAAGTCTCAAACACTGGGCCAAAACCACCAGTAATGCTGAATATTTGGCTTTTCCCCCTTCTGTATCATGCTTTCCCCACCTGTAAAATGGGAACAATGTATGGGTGGGGCTAAATCCGTGCTCAATACAAGGACCTCCTTAGAAACGCCTGGAGGTGGTAAGGATACTGTTTTGAAAGGAGATCCAGCCAGCCTGGATGCAGGGAACCTAACCAAATAGCTTTAGACTGACTGACATGCTGAATCCTGCTCTGCCCCATGCTGCTTGTGTCAGTCAGCACATTACTAGCTAGGGTTAACTCAGCAGCTAACAATAAAACCCTCTGCAAGTCATGTTTACAGAAAAACTTCAGCCTTATCTCCCACGGTAATTGGCCTCTTCCTGCCAGAGGGACTCAGGGCGAGGCCAGGCTGGCACCATCTATTTGGGTGAAGGAGAGGGGGCAAGACAGGGTGTGGACTGACTGACAGATGAGCAGAACCTTGTCCTGGGCAATTAGCCATGGCCCTTTCGGATGCTGTTTGCTCTGTTTGGTGCAAGATGCTGTAAGGCCCAGAGCTGGGCTGACAGAGCAGCAGGCCAAAGTTCACAGGAGCACTGTGGAAGGTGTGTGTGTGGGAGGAAGTAGTGAGCAGATCTGAGCTGGCTTGGCCATTCAGTCAGGATTAAATAGCATGTAAATAAGTACATAAATAAGTCACCCCCAGGTCGTGACCCTGTCTACCTAGCGGGTTGTTTTAAATGGCTACTGTTAAACAAAGACACAGCCTTAGAATAAATAGAGATGGAGAAAAATAAAGACTTAAATTGCTCCCTTGTTGGTTGGGGGAAGCGTAAAAGGCCTAGCAAATGATGTAGTACACATGGGTGATTAAAAAACAAATGACTGGATTCTCATTCACAGATTCACATAAAGGCTTCTTTCCACTGTGCTGGAAATGCCAACAGGGTTTCAAGAAGGAGTAAATAATATTTACCCCTTCACCACCTTCAGGCCATTTTTCCAACATCCAAGCATTGTAAAAAGGTGTACATGTAAATAAGACCCAATGAGTCCCTATTTATGACAGAATAGCATGGAGGCCGTAGCTGTGAACAAGACTGGAGTCTGTATATAACCTATTATCTAGATAAAAACAGCAAGGAAATGGTCTGGTAGCACTTAATAGACTAACAAAACATGTAGATGGTATCATGAGCTTTCGTGGGCACAGCTCACTTCTTCAGATGACCGGAGTTATGATTAGAGGATAAGGAAACTCGAAATAAATAGGAGAGAAGGGGGGAGGGAAAGAAAGATGTTCTGTCGCCCACCCCCCTACCTCTATGCATAAAGTATCAGGAGAAAGGGTGCTAAACCTGAGTAGATAAAGATAAAGATAAAGATAAAGATAAAGGAGTACGGCAGAAAGGGATCTAGGGGTTATAGTGGACCACAAGCTGAATATGAGTCAGCAGTGTGATGCTGTTGCAAAAAAAGCAAATATGATTCTGAGATGCATTAACAGATGTGTTGTGACCAAGACACGAGAAGTCATTCTTCCGCTCTACTCTGCGCTAGTTAGGCCTCAGTTGGAGTATTGTGTCCAGTTCTGGCCACCGCATTTCAAGAAGGAGGTGGAGAAATTGGAGAGGGTCCAGAGAAGAGCAACAAGAATGATTAAAGGTCTAGAGAACATGACCTATGAAGGAAGGCTGAAAGAATTGGGTTTGTTTAGTTTAGAAAAGAGAAGACTGAGGGGGGGCATGATAGCAGTTTGTAGGTATCTAAAAGGGTGTCATAAGGTGGAGGGAGAAAACTTGTTCATCTTGGCCTCTGAGGATAGAACAAGAAGCAATGGGCTTAAACTGCAGCAAAGGAGGTTTAGGTTGGACAGTAGGAAAAAGTTCCTAACTGTCAGGGTGGTTAAACACTGGAATAAACTGCCCAGGGAGGTTATGGAATCTTCATCTGTGGAGATATTTAAGAGTAGGTTAGATAAATGTCTATCAGGGCTGGTCTAGACAGTCTTTAGTCCTGCCATGGGGGCAGGGGACTGGACTTGATGACCTCTTGAGGTCCCTTCCAGTCCTAGTATTCTATGATTCTAAGCCAGAATAAACAAGACTTGGGATGGAGAGTCATGCAGGGCTTGGGAAGGACAAAACCATCTCCAACTGCACAGCAGAATTTACACAGTCCCTGTGAGGTATAGCAGTAGGTGTGACCGGAGGGTGGGGAGATGATCAAATCCTGGCCCTCCCTGCTGAAGTCTGCTTTAAAGCAGAGGTGCTGAGTCTGCTTGTGCCTTCCCTTTCTTAGTCATGCTAAGCTGCAGAGTTTCATAGCTTGCGCGGGTTTGAAAGGTCTTTGATACATCTGCCATGGCTGAGTGGGTTGCTCCCACTTTGTACTTCGCTCCTAGCATATTTGTCCCTTAAAACAAAAAATCAAACGACAAGTATGCGGGAGAGACTCTACAGGAGCTCTGTTTTAGCAAGGGGTTTTCTTATTGTTTTACAATAATAACACTTGTCGCTCACAGTTAGCTACATTTCCAGAGCATTGTGCAGATATTCAATACTAAAGTGCAACACCGGCCATGTAAGGAACTGTGAGACACAGATTCTGAGGTCTGTGTTTCCTCTGCAAGGCTTGGTGCCATGACTTAAAATGAAAAACCAGCTTCTGATGTTGATGATACCGGCCATTCCAGGGGAATTAGAGACCACTCAACTCAGGGCTTGGGTGGTGAGTGAAAAGGGTGATCCAAAGCCCAGTGAAGTTAACAGAAAGCCTCTCCTTGACTCGAGTGGCATTTGGATCAGGTCCAATATTCAAAGTGAACATTTCATCTTAATAAATGTTTATTCATGAAGACCTAAATTTAGAAGACTCAGGGTGCGTTTACCCTGCACCGTTCTTTTGAGATAACTAGCGTTATTCGGGAATAACAATGCAAGCAGCTACACAGCTATTCCGTTATTTCGAAAAAATGGATGGCTTATTCCAAAATCTGTAAACATAATTCTATGAGAAATAGCTATTTCGAAATAAGGCATGTGTAGATTTTCCACTGCTGCTATTTTGAAATAGCCCTGCACCAGGGCCATCCAAAGTTGTTCCTTAGAGATAGCAAGTCTACATTAGGGAAGCCTGCCTCGGACTAATTTTGAGGCTTCTCTGCAGTGTACACGTGCTATTTTGAAATAAGCTATTTCAGAATAACTATTGCAGAATAGTTTATTCCGAAATAACTGTGCAGTGTAAACATACCCTAAAGTCTATAAAATCATGACTGATATGGAGAAAGTGAATAAGGAAGTTATTTTCTCCCTCCCATAACACAACTAGGGATCACCAATGAAATCAATAGGGATCAGGTTTTAAACAAACAAAAGGAAGTATTTTATATAGCGCACAGTTAACATGTGGAACTCCTTACCAGAGGATGTTGTGAAGACCCAGACTTTAACAGGGTTCATAAAAGAGCTAGATAAATTCATGGCGGTTAGATCCATCAATGCTTATTACCCAGGATGGGTAGGAATCCTGTCCCTAGCCTCTGTTTGTCAGGCTGGGAATGGGCAACAGAGGGATCCAGAGGTGAAAGTGGGTGCACCCTGGTGCACAGCTCCAGCAAGAGCTGGCTTAGTTTAGGTCCATGATGGCTTTTGCTGTTTAAAGAACTAGCAGGGACAGGGTTGCAGTAGGACAGTACCATAAGAAATTTTAAGTTACTCTAATTGTTGGCTAGATCACTTGCTGATTCCCTGTTCTGTTCATTCCCTCGCCAGCACCTGGCATTGGCCACTGTTGGCAGACAGGGTACTGGGCTAGATGGACCTTTGGTCTGACCCAGTATGCCCGTTCTTATGTGGGATATTACAACTAAACCCGGACAGGACAGCGCTTTCCTGGCTTCCCATAAAGCCGTGGCGGAGAAATAAAGCCCAAGCACGGCGCGGCTGCTGGACTGCGCTGCTGCGGCTCATATCTAACGCGCCGCAGGACGCGAAGCCCGGTCCTTGCGCGGGGCCCTTGGCCCGTGTCGGCGAGGGTGCCGCTGAGAGCTTGCTGCCCGCAGCCTTTGCTCCTCTTCGTCGCCGAGACGGTGCGCCTCGCAGCAGCCGTGGCTCCGCCGGGTCCCCTGCACCGAGCAGCGCGGGGCTGGCTGTCTGGGCAGCAGGGCGCTCCGAGGGGCGGGGGAGCTTTGCAACGAGAGCGCAGAGACTTCCCCTGCGCGGGGGAGGGGGGCTGGGCCATGCCCGGGCAGGGGTGCGCGGAGGCGGGGCCGGCCGGTGGGTGCG